GTGTTTCCTTCTACCCATTACTTATTTCTGGGAAAGTCTGAATAGATTGATAGCTAGGTAGAATTATTGTGTTCAAGGTGATAATCAGTGAGATCACCCACAGAAACATCTTCCCTTCCTCCAGGAGATACAGATTATAAAGTTACCGTTGCTCGGGTGCTCTTTCCTGAGCTGAAGTGTGACAATTAAACCATGCCTGACCTTAGCCAAAATGCCAGGAAGTGACCCTGACCAAGTCAGTGCTCCTGAACTGAGTTAGTGCCACACAAAATGTGCTTTTCTGTGGGCATGTTCACTGGACATTCAGCCTGCTGGGGGTGCTGCTCCTGTAATTCTAAATAGCTGAGGAAAGGCTACAGATCCTGTGTTCTGTGAACAGTGTTTGTCCTTCTCATCTTCTAGAAATGTTTTGTTTCACAGAATTTAATGATGTGTCCCCTCTGAGTGTAGGTGCAGGCATTATTTATAATGGATTATTTTGTTAACTACCTTACAGTATGAATTCACGTGTCATCAGAAGAGGAGAGAAGGTGGACTCTAGCATGTGGTGGGAAATGGTCACTGTGGACTGGGTGAGGTTTGTCAAAGTAAAGTTGTAGCACAGTGCTGAAAGGTTGAGCCCTATTGTCTTTAATAATAAGATTATTAACAATATATTATTTTAAAATGACTGCAAAGCTAACCGTTTTGTTGTATCATTTCAGTGTTAGTAAATTTAGATTGGGAGCATGAGGAATTTAAGGATTCTCAACAGATCTGTTCTCTTTAGGAAGGAAGATTCTTCCGGGTAAATTGAAAATACCTTCCAATTAATTGGACATTTTTATTTTTAGTAATTAACTGATTTAAAAAAGCATTGCTTAGAAATTCTAGTTGCATATATGGTGATGTTCCTGAATGCACTTGCAATTGCTGGATATTCAGTTACCTGCCCAGTCTGTGCAGTCCCAGTGGTGCCAGACTTTGCTGCTGGTGCTTTTGGCGTGGGTGAATGCATTCTCCCAACAGAGTGCTCCCAGCAATGCCTGAAGGTGCAGCAGAGGTTTGTGCATCCTCTCCTTGCTCAAAGGGAGGTTTTGTAGCAGCCAAATGCCCATTACTGCCTTTCCAAACTGTGTGTGCCTCTGGGAGGAGCAGAGGCTGCTCAGGTAAGGAGGAGCTGCAGGGAACCAAGAGCAATCCATTCCTGCAGCAGCACCTGAGCTAAGAGGTCAAAAGAGTCACTTTGGGGATGTGACTGAAGCTCAAAGGACACATTTTCTGTATAAAAAGAGCCAGACTTAATTTTCTCAGTTTTGTTGACCTTCCTCTCAAACAACAGTGTTTAGGATTTGGGAATTTGCAGTAGAACCCCATAACTCAGAGCCCCTGCCCCTCTCAGTGAGGAGCTCTGTGAGCTGTGTCACCACCACAGAGGTCAGCAGCAAGGAATGCAGACCAGCTGATACAGCACTTGCAAAAACTTGCTGTGAGTTGAGGGATCAACTTTCTGTTCCCAGCATAAGGAACTGATTGGGCCTTGATTTTTCTTTTGTTGCCTTTTCCCTTTTTTCTGATTTGACACAATGGGTGGCTGAGGCCTTTAGTTATGTTGGGCTGTTTCAGAAAATTAATTTACATACTTAACATCCTTTGAATTTGCTTGAGATAAAGATCTAATTAATCTGAACACAGCAGGCAAGTATAATGCTAAGGCAAATGGTAAATCTGTGTTTAGGAGTATTGGTTCCTTTGTTGTGATGCATTTTTAATTCACATTTAAAAATGTGAATTAATGCTTTAGGCCATTTGTATGCAAATCCATTCCAATTATTTTCTGATGATTTACACTTGGAATTTGTGTGGGATATATTGTAAATGAAATTCAGTAGAACTATATTTTTTCTTCATAAAATTAACTCCCCTATTTTCAGAGTGTTAAATGCTGTGACTGCTGTTCTTTTCATACCAGGCTGTGGATTGATAGTAAATGGAAGCCACACAATGTATTTAAAAATACAAAGGATATGGTTTCTAAGGAAAGTTTACTATATTAAAATGGTAGATGTTTTGTCTCTGCAGGCAAAACCCTCTAGGTTTCTGAAGAATTGTTAAGAATACTCAAAAGACTATTATTTCAATTTATGGAACTGAAATGTCAGGAATTAATTTTTATAATAGTCTTTACTCTAGCTATGTTCTCTTAAATAAAACCTATTGGATAAGACACTGGAAGCTTTCAAAGTATTTTCTGTTCATCACACCATTGTAGCCCAGACTCAGCAAAGCATATTAATCTGTGAACAAAAATAAGTCTGTGTATTAGTCCTTCTCTAGATGCAAAACCACTTCAACATATGGACAGATTCTTCAGTAATATTACAGCTTTTATCAGTGGTTTAAAGGGCTGGCAAACTGCAACATATTCTAAAGCATCTGGCTTGCAAGGGCCTGAATGTGAATTCTGTCTGTGCAATGCCAGAACTTTGAGGATTTAGGAATCTGTACCCTTCTGAATTTCTCATCTGATTTTTAGTTTTATAAGCGGAACATGCAAACATTTTCTGCCCACTGAGATGTTTGTAATCCCATTGCTAATAATCAGGAAAAAATGTAAGCTGCCTATTTTGAATGCCCTGTTGATAAGTATTTCAACATGATGGTTCTAAACTTACACTGCGCTGGATTATCTGTGATAGATTTCTCTGTCAAAGAAGCATTTGCCTATGACAAGTTTTTCTGTGCTACTGTGCCATTGAATTTTTTAAAATAAATGTTTTTGTGTCTGACAGTGTGCTCCTGCATATGCCATTGCATGCACAATGTAGAAATGATTATTTTTTTCCATTTGTTTCTGCCTAACTTACAACAAGTTCAAAGCTGCACAGTTATAATACAATAGGAAAATAATTATTTTAGAACAAATGATCTTTGCAACAGTCCACCATTTCACTACAATTTTTAGCTTATTGAATGGCTGATAAAAATGGTATGCTACAAGTTTGAGAGAGGCAGAATAAAAAGGACATCCTCAATCCTTGTCAATACTTCCCTCTTTTACAAAAACTCTTCAGAGACTCAAGATGTATGATTATCTAAAATTGCCTTTTCTTTATGGCTCTTTCAATAACATATTTCCATATTTATAAAAAACACATGGAATTTAAAACTGTGGTGGATGTGGCCTCATAGCTGAGTTCAAACACCAGCATTTAGAACTTTATATTGTGTGTAGTTTCCAGTTGTGATATAAAATGCAAAGCATGGAAAATCAAATCCTTGAAGGGAGAAAAAAAACCAAATGCATTCTTCAGTTTGTGAGGGACATACTCATTACAACTGCTCAGTTCATGAAATGGTAAAGCCTGATTTGGAAGCAGCTTTTCTAAATAACTGCAAAAACAAGCCTAATCCATAACATCTGAATTTTATCACGAACAAAATTAAATGTCTGTCTTCTAAACTGGCATACTGAAACTTTGGTGTCACAGACATCTTTTATGAAAAATCTTTTCTTTAGGATTTTTCCTCCTGAGAAGCTGAGAGGCCTCAGGAACAAAATGTAAACAATGATTATCTGCTGCTGTGGAATGAAACAGGTGCATCTGGGATTGGTCTCCTGTGGCTGGTTGTAATTAATGGCCAATCACAGTCAGCTGGCTTGGACTCTCTGAGCCACAAGATTTTGTTATTTATTCTTTCTTTCTCTATTCTTAGCTAGTTTTCTGATGAAATATTTTCTTCTATTCTTTTAGTATAGTTTTAATGTAATATATAAAATAAAATAACAAATCAGCCTTCTGAAACATGGAGTCAGATCCTCATCTTTTCCTTCATCCTAAGACCCCTGTGAACACGGTCACACTTTGGCTTGGCCTCTTTGGTGTCTGGACAGAGGAGGATGCTTGGTTGGGGCAGGGTGGAAGGCTCTGCCCTGCCCTGCCCTGGCTGGAAGGGCTGTGGAAGGAGCTGACAGCTGCAATCACAGCACAGATGGGTGATGTTTGTGGAGCCTGACCAAGGAGACTTGGACCCAGGAGACAGAGGAAATACAGAACAGACTTGAAGGGAGACGGCTTTAGAAGAATGTCATTAATCTAAGGTGAAAGAGAAGGAGAGAACTGTATGGGGCAAGCTGAGAAAACATCCTGAATGGATGATGATTTTTCTGGCTGTCTGGAGAGGAGGCAGTTTTTTCCAGAAAATGCATAAATTTCTGGAAAGGACCGGAAAGGTCTGGAGTAAATTATATCTTGTTTTTCATCTCCTATATGGCTGTTCTTACCTATAGTGTCAACAGCTTGGAAACCTCCTTGTAAAGGGAGAAAACCCCACTGAATCCTGTGTAATGTCAGCATTTTTTTATATAGTCTTGCCTTTAAGAGGCACAGTTTTTTAAAAAGACTTACCCCATATGTATGATAATATAGTAATGCTCTTTATGACTTAAAATATGTGATTTGAAAAGATGTACCAACACATTTGTATATAATTTGATTAAATATTTTCCAGTACGGTGACTTAATATATAAAATCTAATACAAATTGAAAGTAAAAAACCCACCATTGTTGCTTTGAAAACAGTGTGTACATTTCTACTAGAAAGACTCACCCACACAACACAGGATTCTTAAGCCTTTAGGTGCCAATATAGACATTTCTATTGAGTTTCAATTTAGTTTGACATAGTTTTGAGTAATTTCTGACTTCACAATTGAGAGAGTCATGCTTACCTAGTTTACATGCAGCAGTACACTCAAGTAGCAAATCTGAAGTATAAATAAATTATTCTGTGCCTAATGAAAAGAATTTACAGAAAGGAGATCTTTATTCCCTTTAACACTTATTTATTCATTAACAAGTCAAAGGTTTTAAATGTAATTAAATGAGGGTAAAAAAAGTTGCCAAGGAAAATATGTTGTATTACCTAGAATTGTAACAGTAAAATTATAGTAAAAAGTACACTAATGTCAATGAAATATCTCTTATGAGGTAGTTCTCACTTCTTTTGTATTTTTCAGGTTTTCTGCAGTCATGTTTTTTTTTTTTTTCTTTTGACTTTTTTTTATGGCAATCCTACAAAGATGAAATGAAACCTTCTCTTTTCCTCCTGATACTAAGGACAAAGGCTCTCTCTAAACAAGACACAATACAATTTTGGTAGAAGAAAAAGAGTGCTATGCTCTATAGAAAAAAGTACCCATAGGGGACTACAATGAAAAGACAGTATCAACTTGATCAGAAACAAATGAAAAAGTGACTGTGATTCAGTGGTGAGTTTTGCGAGTTTTCTCTTTCTCTCTCTCTCTTTTTTCTTTTTTATTTTTAATAATTCAGGAAAAAATTGCACTTTTAGCATCAGGAGCCAGCAGTTCCCTTCCTGGGTAAGTGTCTTGGATAAAAAATTATTCAGTACTCCATTTCCAACAAAGAATGGAGGCAGCAGAAGAGACAGAAAATTTACCCTACCTGGCATGTAACAGTTCTGATAAATGCTGCTCACAAAGTTCAGTGCTTCTGTTTCCTTTGATGCCCAAAGAACTAAGAATTTGGTTTTTGATTCAATTGCTGCCATCAGCAGCTTGTGTGTTTTTGGTGCCACTGAGAAGTTCCATGCAGGACATGAAAGTCTGAGAGACTCAGAGCAATCAACCCCAAGGCCAGCAGCCTGCAGAGTGATGCAGCTTTTGTCACTTAGGTAGACTGAAAGACTGATAATAATTTAATCTAGACTAGGCTCTGCTTATGCCTTCTGCTCCTATTTTGCTGTCATATATATTTCAATTCAGAAGCTGGAAAAATTAGGCTCAATAATTGGCTATTCATATCAATGAAATACATTGAGCACAGGGCAGTGCAAGATTAGGGAGATAACAGAACTAAGTAAATATATCTTTCATGATGGAAAACTTAAATTATTTCTTCTTAAGTGTGAGCAGGCATGAAAATAACTTTCCAAGGATATTACCTGATTTGCACCTTAGTAATAAACTCCTGATCTCAAAGAGATTTCACAATTTATTATTTTTTAATATGTTTTTAGGGGTAATGATTGGTTTCTAACTTCACTCTGCTTTGTCTTGAAGTGGATATACAAACCTTAAACTTGCAACTTGCCACGAAGGGCAGCTTGATCTGATGAAGGAGCATGACCCTGTGGCTAAAGAGTTTAGTACATTCTGCTTGTAGGGAATAATCTTATTTTCCTTTTACTGAGATCCTCTGTATGCATCGAGTGTGCTCATCCTGTTCCTGAGAATCTTCTTCCCTTTTGCTTTTCCTTGGAACTTGTGCCTTGCTGGCATCAGAGCTGCCCTTTGAGCAGGGGAACAAGCACATCTCACTGCTGAGGAATATTGCTGGGCAGGGGGAGAGGGAGGGACCATGGCAGCACATCCCATGTGTGCGAGTGGGAGTGATTGTGAATCACAGCAAAACAGGATTGTTCTGCCGCTCTGCAAGTACTGCTGAAACAGGGAGGAATTTCATGATATATCAAATGCTGTGTCCCTGTCTAAGTTAAAGTCTGTTTGCTTAACCATTCAAAAAAAATTGCAACTCATTATAAGTTAGGAAAACTTTTTGTTTCATGTCAGTATGCATCTGTATCTTAAATCTTTGCCAAGATATCCACTCTCTCTACTTGTCTGAGCTGATGTTTTTCAGGACTGAAGGAAATAAAATTAAATGATAAAACAAATATTATGGTGTTCTATGCATTGTTCTGTGCTGGCTGTACAGGGTCTGACAGATGACAGTCCTGAAATCTATGCGTGCTTATCTAATCTCTTTCAGAAAGTTCAATATAACCTTACTCTTGAAAAGAGTGCAACTGGCAGTATCTGTGCTAAACAGCTTTCTGAATTCTTAGTCTTTTATTGAAAACATTCCAAGTGTGTGTTATATTTCATATATATATGTGTGTGTGTGTGTGTGTGTGTGTATAAAATGATTTCTGTTGGAAGAGATCTCTAAGATCATTGAGTCCAGCCATTCATGTAAATCTACCAAGCCTACCACTAAATCAGCTCCTCAAGAGTTATGTCTGAATGTCTTGTAAATTCCTCCAGGGCTGGTGACTGAGCCCCTTCCCTGGGCATCCTGTTCCAGAGTTTGACAACCCTATCTGTGAAGGAGTTTTTCCCAATATCCAATCTAAACATTCCCTGGTACAATCTGAGGCCATGTCCTTTTGCTCATTACTTGTGGAAAGAGACTGACCCCCACCTGGCACCTTGCAGGCACTTGTAGAGAGTGATCATCTTTGTCTCCAGGATAAACACCCCCAGCTCCCTCAGGTTTGTATGTGACAATTTTTAAAGTTGTCTCAATATTATGACATAACACAAGGAATCTGACTTAACATACAAAAAATGTAGGAAGAAAATGACAAAACAATTATTTTTTCTTGAGGGCAAGGCAGCATTAACAATAAACCACTTAGTCTTTGGAGGGGAGCAAAAATAGCATCAGGATTATTGCTGAATATTATTCATGTTTATGAATCATGTTATGCAAAGATTCCCATACAGAATTTTACACAGCCTACATTTTAAACAGGTTATGAAGCACAGAAACATGCCTAGTCTAAATATATTCTTCTTACAGGAAGGTTCCTTTTTTTTTTTATTTTCTGGTGTAGCAGTTCACCAGAGCAGAACATCATGTAATTAAAATACATCAAATTTGGCTCCCTGAGCACTTAGTTTTGCAGTGGTGAAGAACAGAGGAAAAGTGGTATATGATTAAAAATAAGAATATGAAAAATAATGTGAAGAAAAAGAATAATAGAGCGAGGAAGGAATGGGAGACTTAGGGAGTTGTGAGAAAAACTCATGTAGCATGACAAATTCTCCTTGCCAACTGTTCTAAACCCACAGCCTTTAGCTGTGCTGAGGGCCTGATAATTGACTTTATTACAAAATGAAGAGGTAAATTGGATGGTATTGTGACTAGGCTGCACCACTTAAATTTGGATTCTTTTCTTTATGGGTAGCTACAGAAACAACAGGACCACCCCACTAGCCAGTTTGGATAATGCACTGAAATTCAGAGTACAAAGGCTCGGACCTGAGAGCTGGGAGCCCTTTGCTGCAGTGTGGGGAGAGCACAGCCACAGCTCCCTGATGGGATTCCTGGTTTATTGTACACTTGAACTCTGCTCATGTCCACCAAACGGCTTGACCTTTCCAAGGCATTAAATTCTTCCACTTTCAGAGGTGAAATCCAAAATTAAAAGCAAACTTTTGAGTCTCAACCTTACTCTGCAGTCTTAGGGGTTGTTTTTAGCTCTATGTTGCCAAACAATAGGGCTGACACAACAAATGTGTCAAGTCCTCAATTTATCACCTGTATCAGTGTTGTGTAAAATTTATTAATCCCTGCAGGAAATAAAAATGCAGGGTTTTGGTTTGTATGCTCACTGTGTCTTGTAGCTGGAGTGGGCAGAGCTGGGGAGCTCAGTTGTGGACTTGCTCCCAGAGGCTTTCAGGCACAGCAGGTCAAAAAACCACTGTGCCACAGTCAGTGTTTATAGATGCTTTCTCTAAATGTAAAAGGTTCATTTTGACTCAGACATCCTGAGTCAATATAATGAAAATTAATTTCTTGTTTAGCACAAATTTTTATATTAATATTGCCTTTGATACTTGCAGCAAGATTGTGACAGGCGTTTAAAATGGTTGAGTAATTTCATACAAATATCTCTGACTATTGCCATTTAATTTCACTGCACAAATCTTGCAGATATGCCAAACAGTATAATCCTCCAAAGAAGCTTGTTGCAGTCACAAGAAAAGATATTCTTGTAATTGAGGTGTCACCTGGAATCACAGGAGGTCTGCTCTGTCTTTTTTCCTCAGCTCTGTGTCTGTTTTGAGAGTGACCTTTTGGCAATGTTCTGCAGTCCTTGTAGCACTGTTGTTCACTCAAGGCTGGATGTAGTGAGTGCCCTGTGAGCAGCTGTGGAATTTATACAGCATCAGCTATGCAGCTCACACGGTCACAGGGTGCAGATCCAAGGCTGCACAATTGAAAATTAGGCTCGGAAGGCAGAGCAGCAGGATGGATCACAGGGAGCTGAGAGCAGCAATTCATTATTCCTGCCTCTTCTCCTTTCCCCCCACTGCTGTGGCCCAGTTCATTTTGCTCTGTCAGGCCATGGATGTCACTGTTTTACCATGCTCTTTTTTCAGGCCGTGTTGACATTCCATCTCTAATAGAGTTGAACCTGCTTGAAGAGTCAAAAATTTCTCCCTGGTACTGTTTGTATCTCTGCAAATCAGTCTGTGTGTAATAGAGTTGTACAACCAATGCTACTGCTGCTTCTGCTGCTTGCTTACAAGCTGCTTTCTCAGCTTTAGCAACCTTGCAATATGCAATTGAGGAGTTAATTACTGTTTTAAGACAGGGATAGTGGGATGTTAGGGAATTGCTGAAGTATGTAACAATTTGTATATGAAGATTATCAGATTATTTAGTGATTTTTGATTTATAAGTGTTGATACTGAAAAGCTGGTACAGAAAGAGTAACAACTGGTTGTGTGCACAAGAATAATTTGTAATAGCCTTTTTATTTGTTGCCCTAACTTAGGATGCTTTGTAGTACAATATCTTGGGTTCAAGATAGCACTGCTGATTCAGTAACATCCCATAATGTTCCTGCCCCATCTGAGTTCACTTCACATCTTTTCAGACCTGAGGACTGGTGTGTTGTTTCCCAAAAGGATGTGAGACCTCTATTCTGTCACAGGCTGGTGTTTTTACAGAAATGCATGTAGTAAAAAGGGGAACAGGAATGTTTTGTCATTCCCACAATATTGAGAATCCAAAGGCCCTGCCATTTAAAACAGAATGGGCAGGGTGGAGACACAGCCGCCCATGGATGAAGCTCTGGATGGAGGGATGTGCTCAGGTAAAGCAAAATGTCCCTTTGTGCCTGCGGAGCTCAGGGTGCAGCTCAGCACGGGGGCAGTGGCCGCTCCTGTGCAGGACCCAGGCAGGGACACTGTTTAGAGTTATATAGGCCAGATGTTATTCCTGGCAGAAATCATTGTACTTTTTGTGAGGATCCTTTCTTGTAGTCTTTGCTTTACCTGATATTTAAAATAGTGGGAAGGAAGGAAGGAAGGAAGAAAAGCTTTCTTCTGCCAAAAAAAGCCCTGTATTTTTCTTATAGGGTGTCGTCTCAGCCAATTTTGAAGAAGACTGTTTGAGGCAGGAGGAGATAAGTTTGTTGAAAACTGGCCCTTTACTAAAAAGGTCCAAGTTAATGTTGTACTATTTTTTGTTTAAGGGCAGTTAAGAAAATGGGAGGGATTATTTTATGGAATTCTAATCCTATTGCAACAAAAACTCCAAACTAAAAACAACAACAAAACCCTAAAAAGCCTTGCTGCATTAAAAAAAGATTGATTTAGTTTTCTGTTGTCCTTTGCAGCACAACCTTAACTGTGCTTTAGTACCAAAGACCAGTGTAGTAGGCAGATTGCCATATTATCTGGCAGTGTCTCAATAATGACATTTTCTGGTCTTCCAGTAGGAATCCTTAGGGTACAGACCTGAAAATGAGATTCGTGCATACTATATTATTTAGACATTTTAAACACCTATATACTGAGGCCCAAGGCTTTTAGTTCCTATTGGAAAACTAAGACATATCACCAAAAAAAACCTCCAACAAATATTTAAGTGTGTTATATAGAACCATTAGCTATAAAGATGGGGGTGGTGGAAGTCAATGTAGTTTTCTATTATAGAATTTTTTGCTCAGGACCTTAATAGAGGGATTTAAAACAAACTAAATATCTGCTGTTATTAAAGTAATTTAATATCCTAAGAGCTCAAAGGTCTTTCACTGAATGTGACTCCCTCATAGCTTGGTCACTGACACAGCAAACTACCCCTCTTTCCCCTAGGGTTGCTGCAGCAAGTTTTCTAGTTTTGCTTTGCTTTGCTTTTTTTCCCCGTGCTTTTGTTTGTTTTTGTTTATTGGTTTTTGTTTTGTTTTGTTGGTTTTTTCCCCTGTCCTTTTCCCAGGTGAGGCTCCATGCTTTGCTGCATGTCTTACGTTCCAGCTTCTGCTGTTTCTACTACTGTGCTGGGCAAGTCGCCAGTGCACACAAATCAAAGTTATGGCTGTGATTGTTTCCTCATGTTGAACTCTAACAAAAGCCCTGCAATGCTAAAGCTATAAAATATTCTAATTCCATGACTTATTTTCCATAAACCAAAAATAGGGGCTTTAATCTGTGTCTTTTCAGTTTAATATTGAAAGTGAAGCTGCTGGCATTGAAAAAATTAAACTGACTGGAGAATCCAGTCAGTTGTCTGTGAAGGGAAGAGAGAGGGAGAGATCTCTGATTCTGCCTTTGTTTTCCTTCAGTTCATTTCTTGTGCAAAGGAATCCTTGCAGAATGGTAATGGCAGTTTCAGGGATTTTCATGTCTTCCCTCATTTGCCCTGCTCATAAAGAAAAGGGCTGGAGCAGCCCTGGAATAGAAATGGGTGATCAATTATTCTACCCCCTTGCTATCATGAGTCATTTACTCCAGCACATGTGTGATTCCTATTCTACCCTGAGGGGGGAAGATAAATGCTTTACTTGCCTGAGAAAACTAAAATTTAAAAAGTCACATTTCTATTTCCTCATTTGTTCTGTTTGTGGAAGAGGGAGTGAACAGAAACCTTAAGTTTCCTTATCAGTTTTAAGGAAAATGGCATTAAAAAGTCACTGAATAATTATGTATGACCAAAAGCAAATTTAGTGACCTTGCTAGGTGAGGCTGAAAGAGTCTGAACTGTTATAAATAAAGTGCTTGGTAGATCTACCATTTTCTGGAACTTACTTTCCTATGGCATTTTGAAAGTATCTATAACAATATTATGTTTGTTTCTACCTTTAAATGTTTGCATTGTCTTCATTAAAAAAAAAGCAAACAAAAAGTCTGACTCACATATTATCCCTAGTTGTAAGAAGTTAATAATTACTGAAATTGGTTCTGTCTTATTGAAATGTTCTTTCATCTCCAGAATTAAGACATTTTATCAATTCAGGAATATTTTTTCTTTAGAGAAAGAATTCTCTAAGCAGCATTTGGCTGTTGGCAAAGCTATTGCATTGTTATTACTACCTTTACCCACTGAGGTTTGCTGCATCCATTTTTACTAAAATCACATTTCTATAAATGGTCTTTCAGTTGTGCATCTTTCCTGCACTTGCAGAAATGGAAATATTATTTCAGGTAGTTTTGACTCTACAAGGGCTGAACTTGTGGCTCTCTGCACTTTCAGCCCTGATTCTGGAGGAGAAAGGTGGGAAGGCCTTCAAGAAGGAAATTTCATTTTCATCTTTAGAAAAACATGGAATCTAGAATAATCCCAGGACTGAAACCTTAAGGGTACTGTCACTGAAGACAAAGTTGGTTCAGTGACAACTTGCAAAGGTGCTGCATTGGAAGGGACTGGTGGATTTTGACAAGGAAGTAGATAAGAACTCAGATTTATTCACTTTTTAGGTGTGTGTCTGATGTACTCAGAACTCAGAGACCACAACCAGGCCTGTAACCTCTTGGTACTTATGACTTTGGAGGGATAAGAGAGGAAAAGAATGGCCTGTCTTCAGTAAAGCAGGAGTCAATATTGCTTGTGTCTGAATTATGCATGAGACCCTCTATTTTATGAAAGCTGCTGATGCTATAAGCAGTCTGTTATCCCTTTTTCTGTTTCAGATATTTACATCCCACTATTAATGTGATCATTTCATGTGTAGTGTACAGTGTAACTCATAGCCATTTACCAATACTTCATCTACTTCATGAATGTAATTAAACAGCCTGATCTGGAGTGCTGAGCACAGAGCTGGATTTGAAATGCTCATGGATACTTCATTGTAGCTAATCTTTAGGCATGGAAAGCTATTAGCACTGCTGAATAATAGCTCAGAAGTGTCTTTCATTTTATCTATATCCCTAATAGACTTTGCTGCCACGGAAAAAAAAGAATTCTAATTTTACTAGGAGAGTCTTCTGCAAGTTAATTTTATGAAAATGCTAATAACTTTGGGAGTGCTTGAGAGAATTTAAAGAAATTCCCGTTTTTTTGCAATGTATCTCTTTAGTGCTGTTTTAAAAGAAAATTGTGCTAGTTGGTGTCTGTGGTTTGATCTATTTTTGTATAACTTTTATGGCCACAGATATTTTCACCATTTAAGATTGTTTTAAAGCTCCTAATGAAGAGAATTTTTAGTACATCTAAGTATTAATAATGCTGGAGCTGTAAGCTAAGCCAAAATTAAACAGTTTACATTGCAAAATGAACCCCCAAAGGATAAAAAAATCCTTTTGTGTAAATTATAAATTTTGAAAGGTAAAATGAGAAGTCCACAATTTTAATAGTTAAATATTCTCTGAAGCAACCCTTGTAGTGGCATGTCAAATATTTTCATTATGTCAAGTATTGTAAAATATCAGATATATCCTTTTGTAGATCAACTACAGTATTTCAAACAATTTATCCTGCAGGTTTCCTCACAGGGGAAAAGGAAAGAAATAATCAGAAATAAACTTGCACATTCATACTTTTATGAGGTTTAGAAAGTCTACCTTGGTATAAAGGAATTATTATTATTCTTGCAGAAACCCTTGTTGATTCTTAGTAACAACAGCATGATAAATTTATATGTTTCTATTTTATAGGAAAAAATCCAGGTTATATTCTTAATATTTTCACATCCTTTTACCTCCCAGTAACATACAAACATGATGATTTGTACATCTTTGAGGGATTTTCTGCTGCTCTCTTGGAAGAGTAAATCCAATACAGCTGTACAAAAAGAGCCATTTTAATAAGAAGTAAAGTGCAAAATATTTTGATTAATACTCCAATTCTCTGCCACAGTGCCACAGTACCTTAAGGCCTGAGTTAGTATAAGCCGAGAAATCCACTGCAAACCACTGACTTGAAATACAGATTTAACCCTCAGTGTTTGTGAGGATTCACTTTCCCAATTTGAAATGCACTTGGCTTCCTGTGCTGAGTGTAACATAAATACTCAACTGTGGCTTGAAAACATATAATCTATTTCCTGCTAATGTTTTTCCTCTCCATTCTCTTCCCCAGGCACAAAAAAATGGTCTGAGATCTGGATTTGTATTTTAGTTGCAGAGGAAATGGTTATGCTGGAGGGGACTGCAGGGACATGACAAATCTGAGCTCTCATAGCTGAGGCTTCTTGCTCTCACCTCGTGTCCTGTGTCTGTAGCAAACCCAGGTGAGTCTGTTTGGAAATCAGACACAAAGTTCAATGGCATGCTGCTGGACATTCATTCTCCTGGCTGGGACCATCAAATGTGTCCTCTCTCTTATATTTTATTGTGGTAAACATTTAAAAGAATCTTTTTTTTTTTTTCAATTATAAGGATTTGTAACATTGAAATTCCATGCTTGCTAAGGAAGGACTAAAGAGATCTCTAAATATTGTATTCTTTTTAAAAGTGGAATAAATAAAAAGCATATATTTTAATTTTTCAGCTCTAGAATGAAGGATTGTTCCCTTGATTCTATATGTTTTTTTTTTTAAATTAAGATAGAATTTTCACTGTTAAATCATAAGAGAACATATTTTCATGAGATTTTTATAAGACAGTTATTATTTAAGAAGTGAGTGACCTCACTGAGCCCCACGATAGCCAGGGATATCTGAAACTGAATTATGTCAAAGGACATATCTTCCATGTCCTTATCTGATTGACAGCTGCCAGGTTATATTTCAGTGTTAGTTTTATAGATCATTGCATTGAACAATTACTCTGTCAGGATAATCCATTTCCAGTTCTATAAATCAATTGTTTGTCAAATAGCGAAGGTAAATCTTGAGGCCATAGTGGATATCTTCTTCACAGTGACAATTGTTGAGGTCTTTGTCTAAGAGTTGTCTTTAATACAACAGGAGCTACATGGAAAATATATTTGTTGGCAGGCAGGAACACAGCGTGGGCTTTTTAGGAGAGAGGCTTTTGTGCTTTTTAGAAGAGGTGCTTCAAATTTATAGTGATGATCCCAGTCAATATCTGATCTGGGGACACTTTCTGTTGCCTCCACTGGAGTTTGAAATGAATTTTGGAACTCTTTTTGTTGACTAATATAAAGTATATTTTGGAATATATAAATATAAAACAAAACCTGGTTTTTTACACTATGTATATGCCAACGACTACATCTGTTAAATATCATATAACAAAGGATGCCAGCATGACTATTAGGTATGAGGGAACATCCTTCAGTTAAAGTATGAAGATGATGATTAATTATTTGACCAGGAAAATGGAGTCCTAAGCTGCTCTGGCATACAGTAACTCTGCCAGTGGGCACTCTGTAGCAAAGTCATTTTTCTTAACTAGTCAAATTTCTGACACTCTTAAAGCATGTACTGACAGGAGACAATTTTGGTGTGTTAGATTTATTGTTTGGAATCACTCAGCTGAAATAAAAACAACCAAGTGTATCAAAGTAAATGAGGAGCAACAAAGATTATAATTGATTGGTTTGTTTTTGTTGTTTTTTTTTTTCCTGTGCCATTTACTATATTCTTTAATGCTTATTTCTGGATTATTGTGATCTATTCAAGGCTTAGAGAACCAATATATGTTCAAAGTAGGACAGAAATTCTGTTACTTTTAGCAGTAGATGGAATTGAAGGGGGCAAACTGTAGATAGTTAGCTATATTTTTAATTAAGCTTTATGGTTGTAGAACTGATGTTTGAAGCAGTCATAATAGGGAATTTAGGTTTAAAATACTATCAGAAAATAATTGCAATAGTAGTTCTTGGTATCTCTCACAGATCTTTGTGGTTTTGCTGACATGTATCCCTCCTGCCCTGGGCTTCGGAGTGCTGCAGGGCTGGGAAGAGCCTTTGGCTCAGGCAGGTGCTGCTGTTGCAGTCAGTAGTGAATCACAGCTGCCTCTGATCAGGGGGGATTTTGGCAGGTTTGTCTGACAATTGAACAGTTGAAAGCTGCCTCAGCCCAGTGTTAGTCATCAGCTCAGCAAACACAGATCTTCATGATCTCAGCCCTCTGTGCCCTCCCCACTGTGGCTTTTGGTTGAAGACAGATTCAATTTAAGATCTCTGGCCATATGCTCACAGCTCCCCATGGGACTGGCATTAGCAGAAGATTAAATTGCTGTGTGCCAGCCGTGTCCTATGATAGCAGATTGTGGCTTGGACTTCTCAGAAGTATGAGATGCAAAGCTTTAGTGGGAATTTGGTTTAGTTGGTAAATACTATCGTGTAAGACAAGTGTTCATGGGGCTCTCTGTAGTTATTCCTTTTTGAAATCCTTGAAAAATCAACCTTAATTTAGCATTTTCCCAAATATTTTTAAAATATCTTTCTGGAAGTATACACACTCTTGAAATTTCATCCTCTTTAATTTCCTTGAAGTGCTAAAATAGATTTTAAAAACTGGTTTTCAAATATTTCCATTTTATTATTCTAAGGAAGAAAAAAAGGAACCATGAAACCAAAAAGTAAAAAGAAAGGTGTTCCATAAATATTTTAAAATATTAAGGAGACATTTTTTGGGGAAGAGATATGAACCCACCTACATTTAGAATAAAATGTTCAGGGTTGTTTTTTAGGTTGTCTTTGCCTCAAAGCATAAAAAGGATATGGCAAGGGAAGCTTTCCTTTGAACCTGAATTAGGTAATAGATGTAATAAGCCATGGATCAGGAAAGTGTTGCCAATAAGGGGAGCCTTTATTCTGCTTCCTTATCAAAAGTTTGGGCTTGATTGTCCTTAATACAGGCAAAGTAGTGGTAAAATTTAACAGGAAAGGAAAAACAAAATGGGAAAGGGGGAGTGTCCACAGCCAGCTTCATGTGCAGGTAGCCCTTGATGGACAGGGTCACAGTCCTGCCACAGCTTCTTCCTGGTGAAACATGACTGGTACCAGTGAAAAATCACCTAAAACAGGAATAAAATAACAGGGCTAAATGCCAGACAAGCAGAACCTTACACATGTGTTGAGAGCTCAGGAATCAATAGAATTGATCAAGAGATTTCTTCACCTTGCAGATCTGTAGCAAACATGGAATTGGGCTCTTCTGGGCACCTCAGCGTGAGATTGCACTTTAGAAGCAATAGTTCCTGCAAATTTGCTATGGAAGCTTCTGTACAAGGTATGGCCAGTTCCTTCTCCCTTCCTTGTAAAGACCTCACTGAAAATCCTAAAATTTGCTGCCTTTGAATTCAAAGAAAAAAATTTACATATGAAATCATGTCAGTAAATGAAGTATCTAGGTTTATTTTCATGTAGAATCCTACTCAGATTCCTGTTCCTCCACCTGAGTGTATTTTTTGTGCAGGGATGATTAATTTTTGCACATGAATGTGTATCTGTGGATCTTTGCATCATTTTGGTCATGAAAATCAGATTGAAGCACCAAGAAACATCTATGAAATATTTTCTCCGATTTTTGAGAAGGTGACTGTATTTTGTCTGAAGAGTAGCAAGACTAAGAGTAGTTGATGGGGTTCATGGTTTGCCTTTATTTAATTTAATGGAAAATGAGGTTGTGATGAGGTGACTGACACTTCTTATCTGTTGTACAGGGAAATACAAGACTGCAGTCTTGACAAGCAGAGTTAAATGAAAAAGGCTTTCTTTAGAATCATGCAAAAATGACTACATATAAACAAAATAGGCCTCTATAAGGTGCTTAATCTGAGCAAGCCTTTAGGTTAAAAAGGGAAAGGACAAGAAACACTTCTTCTTTGTTAAAATATTTATAGAAATCTACAGCAAACTTCTAGAGGTTTTTGAAGTTCAAGAATGTTTCTTATCTGCCTCCTGAGACCAAAGGATCCAAACTTAACTTTTATATTAGTCTCTAAGAAAAGGAAGCTTTTCAGTGTGGGTCTGAAGAAAAGAAACCATTTCATCTGTATCATTTCCCTGACACACATCCACATCTGAAAATCACCTGCCTAAAGCCCACAGAACTGAACTTTGTGAGTTCAGGGGAGGGGAAATCCTGCTTCAACAGGAGGCCAGACCCTGTGGCACTGGTGTAGCTGAGGCAGCGGCTGAGGGGCCTCAGTGTCACTAAACTGCTGTAAACAGCCTCTGGAGTGCTGAAGTGATTGATTTACTGCTGCAATAATTAATTGTCTGTTCCTCCCATGTATCTGATACCATTACACAGAGCACCTCGGATGGGTGGCCTGGGAATCAGAGATCTGAATTGCCACACAACAGCTGGAGTCCTTGGAGAACCTGGGCTCAAGTGACTGATTTGGCACAAACCCCATCAGGAAGCAGGAAGTCCTGTTGGTGGTTTTCTACTCTACCTCACCTTTACCTTTTTTTACATGTCAAAATATTTTCAGCCAAATTTGACAAGAGTTTCTATCCTTAAATCTATCCTACAAATGAAGTGGATCTAAGTGATCTGGTAGAGTACAAGAATTTTTGACTAATGGGTTCATGTTATATCATATTCTAGAACATCAAGAGAAAGAACAACCAGTTCAAGAAAGCATCATTCAGTCTTGGTCTGTGTTAGACCCAGAAGAATCTGTGAAATAGGAGCCCACGAGAAACCAGCTTCCTCTGGTTCTGCTGCTGGTGAAACTGCTTTAATTATGCCACTGTAAGTACTCACTGAAGTAATTTGCTGGTTGTGCTGGATCTAGTAATAATGGTATCTTTCAAAATAAATTAGCAGTTTAACAGTGTGTTTAGTGATACTCTGAATTAGGATGCTAAAGATTCATAGTAAAACTCATCTGAAGAAGAGTTCAGGGATTTTTTTCCCTCACATTAACACTATCACTTTACACTTCTGAATAATGTTTGCACACTCTGTCACAAATTGCCATGGGCTACTGGATAAATAAATTATTTAAGGAGCTGTTAAATTATCTAGATGAGGAAAAATCCTATTTATTTACAAAAGAAAAAATTGCTGCTAGTTAAACTCTAATAGCTTTAGTAAACTACAGGAATTAAGTATTGACAATTGTACTGACAATTAACTAATTAGATACTACCTTGTGGAGCATAAATATGCTTTCTTATTGTGAAACCACAATTTCTTTTACTGTAAATGCCCAGTTTGTTATATTTGTTATGAATTTGTTTTGCTGTAAATGGTTAGGTCTTTCAATGACAGGGAACAAGCAGATTCTCTAATTTGCTCTGCCTAGAGGGTAATCTACTGATGAGTTTAAGAGTCACAATGCATTAAAAGCCTCAGGATTGACTGCCCAGAAATAAATAACCTTGCTAGTACTGGTCTGTTGATCTGGATGGGTGACATTATTTATTGCTGCTCCTATGGTGACATGACTGTATAGGAATGTTAAGTAGCTGTGTACTTGCAAATACCCCAGCTTTGTGCAAAGTGAATCAACCACAGGACAGCATTTGTTAAAACAAGACCAGACAAACTTTTATCAGTCACTCTTGGAGAAAATACCCAAGTTTGTGCTGCAGCCAGCTATATGATGCAGTTTACATAATGCTGGCTGCAATAGGCTTAATGCCTTCTGATCTTAAAATAAAGAAATAAATAAAGTAGAAAGAGGTAAATGTTGTCTCTTTAGGCATTAGTGGAGAATTTACTTGAGGGACTCAAAAGTTCCCCTTAAGCAATGTTATTTTTCAGGTAAATGTCCTTGAAATACAATAAGTTCAAGTTAAAATTACATTCTTGTATGTAAGTAACATGGCAGAGATAGGAAGTTGTATTGCTTTAGAAGACTGCACACTCATCTCTTTTGACATCCTGCTTTTTTTTTTCCTTTCTGTAGAATCTGTAGGAACTACACTTAAGTAAAATCCTTCTGAATAATTTTGTGCTTTTAAGGCACAATTTGCTGGTGTCTTCTTTGTCTATTTTGTAAGCTTGTAACATTGCCACTGAGTTTATTCATATCTTTGGGCTAATCCAGAGCTGTTAATTCTGGTAGTCATTACTGCTTCAAAGCTATTTGACTTAGGGGAGAGAAAGGAGATGACAACTCACATTTGTCCTCCAGGGTTTCAAAACCAGACAATAGATTTGAATATATGTAAGACAGCTATTTTTATTCTCATGTGTCTATTACAGTCATGCATGTAGAAGAGACATCCACCAACTTCATAGCTAAATACACAGCCCAAAGCTGATCTGTCACCTTGCTTAATCAGACCTGTGTGAAATGGTAGGGCTTTATTCTGCAATAAACCAATGAAGCACACAGTTCTCTTGTGGTGGCTATTGTCAAAACAATTGATGTGTCTCACAGTGCTTTGTGTTTATGTTATCAGCCAGGATTACATTCTGTCCTTGTCTTGTGATGTTTTCTTCTCTCCACACAGTGGTAAATGTATACATACCTGGATCTGAGCCTATGACTCATTTGATTTGTCTTCAAAAATGCTTAGAAGGGAGGCAAAAATAGGAACTTATTCTTGAGCAAAACCACCTCTCATACAGTGAACTTATCACCTGGCTCAAACTGCAAACTGTGACCAATTAAGAATGGAGCTGCATGAAATTTGCTCCTCCTTACACACTACACCTGAAATTCATTACTTTTCCTTCCACTTACTGCCCCATAGAAGGGTCATGACCTCCAATTTTACAAAGAGGAAAAGGAGTCTTTGTATAGGTTCTGGTAGGGCAAGGAAAAGGACTCCCCCTTCCACTCCTTACTATGCACATCTTCTGTAAATCCTGAGTGGTAAATGTCAGCAAACCCTGTGCTAACAGAGCTGGTATTACATGGTAACTTTTAATAGCAGAGTCTTGGCATTTTCCCACAACTGAGTGTCCTGTTTCATTTTGGCTGACAAAGCCAAATACCTCCTTTTATATAAATGAAGCAAAAATTTCTGCCTTGAAACTCAGAAGTTCCTGAAGGCTCATAGTGAAGAGGTTTAGCTGCAGTAGTTTAACATCAACATGTTAATCTACAACAAAGGAGTCCAACAGCAGCACTGGGTATCACTTTCCAATAGACCTGCAGAGAAACTTTGTCCTTTTTGTCTCTGCCCATGGCAGGGGGGTTGAGGTCTCATAATCTGCAAGGAAGGTCACTTCTGAGCAAAACCATTCTATGAAAACCTTTTTGATCCAAAATAGATCATAGCACTTTGTCATGTTAGTTGTAATTTTCTTTTTGCAAAATGTGCTCCAATGTAATACAAATCTGCAAGTGAAAATGAGAAATATAAATGATGAATTTTAGAGGGAAAAAACCATGTTCTCATGCAAGTTGTCTGCCTTTCCTCCTAGATACCATGTGGCAACAATAATATTGTTTTTCAAGTTGAGTTACTGAGCAGCAAAACTTGAGGGGAAATGTATGTAATTTACTTGTAAAAATAGGAACTGTTCTCTGGGAAGCCTGAAGTTTCAATTTCAGTCTGTTGCAAGCTCTGCATTTTGATATCTTGAGGCTGAAATGTCTTTGGAAGGGGTGAAGTGATGCTTGTGGGTGGGTGACTTGAAGCTCATCTCTCCCAGTCTGTGGACTGACAGACCTGATCATATTTTTCATAACCATTATTTGCTGGATCCTGCCCCTACAGTGCTTCTGTGACTGATGAAAAGATTGTGATTTCTCTGTAAATGTTGCCTTGCTACCAAAGGGTAAGAATCCAGCAATATGAAGCATTGAAAATGACATCTGCTAGAAGGTATCCTCTAGCCAACCAGTAAATCTATCAATATTAAACACTAGAACCCATAAGACATAAGTTTTTTTTTACTGTAAACCAAATTCCTGTGGTTGAAAGAACTGACAAACGTAGAAGTTTCTGACCATCTTTTTTTCCCTTATTTTAGGATTTGTGGGAGGCAGTTTTTAATGTAAAATGCCAATTTGTATACACCCCCTCATCCAAAAAAAAAAAGTCTGTAAAATGTTTGGCATTCAAAGCTAAGTGAAAAATCTGGCGCAAATTTCTTCCAGATTTGTCATCAAAAAACTGTGTGGACTATTAAGAAGCATTCAACTCATGTATGGCAGGACTTGGAGGAACCATGCAGTCTCCAAATCCATCTGGGTTTCTCAGCCAGTGGTCTGTAATATAACAGAAGGCACCTACAAAACTAGTGGGAGAGAAAATATTATATTCCCATAAAATCACAGAAAATGAAACAAAACATTGTACTTTAAGGAATTTGTACAAGGATATTTGTGGATACAGGGAATCTATGGATGGCTTCTTACTTACCAACAATTTTTTTGTTAAAACCTAATTGTTACTCTCCATTAATGTGCTCTCTGGTAATAGGTCAAGTGCCACCCCTGTGGGTGACTTATTTCCATTTCCACTGTGGATCTCAGACTCACTGACACTCTAGGAGAGTTGATAGTAGCTGCCCAGTTGCCCAAAATAAACCTGTGCTCCTAATGCTGCTCACAATGTCACTTGTGTCACCACCACTGCTCTCTGCAGCAAAGGCCACGCTGTGACTGATGGTTTGTTGGCCCAAGCTCTGGTGCCACACTGTTGGAAAATTAGAAACCAGAATTTATTACTGGAAGTTCTTTAGTGGTGAGAGAGAGCTGGTGATTCATGTGCTCAGCTGTGGCAGCCAGGCAGGCCAGAGGAACCCACGGTCTGCACAGATGCTGCTGCCAGCAGCACATCGTGCTTCCATCGTCCCACTGCCTTCCTCTGCTTCGAAATGGAAAAAACCTCGCTGCGGCTTGGGGCCAGTTTCTGCTCTGGCTCCTTCAATTCTTCGTGCATTTGCCTCTGCTTCTCCTTTTGCAAGAGTTTTTGATTTTGATCTGTAATTTTACAAAAGCCTGGCTCTCTCCATGCTGTTTGTTTGATGTGATGCTGCCAGACTCAGACGCAGAGCTGCTAGGATTTGTCTCAGTGCTTGACCTGCTGTAATAACAATGGGATCTCAGAGCACAAGATTATCTCCTTAATTTTCCTCACAGTTTCTTATGAATCCCTGTGCTTTACAGATTATTTCTGTGGATCTGGATCATCACACCTTCAACGCAGGTCCCATTGTGGTTGATGGGTCAGTTCTTTAGCAATTTAGTGAGACTTTGCCCATCTTTTTTCAAGAAAGTCAGATCCTGTGAGCTCAAGGCCCTGTGTCTCTGATCTGATCACCACATATGTCCATCTGGTCCACAGAATCAGCTGCTTCAGTGAGGATTTGGGACAGTCTGTCTCATTTGGCAAAGTCTTGGCTGATCTTGTGAAGCTGTGGAAAATCAGTTGTTAATGCATTATCATGTATGTGAATGATAAAGTTTGCATATATTGAAGGTAGGGTGTAAAAGGTCATAGATGAGAAGTCCCAAAATGAAAAAAATATAATTGAGTTTTCATCTCTACACATCCAGAACACATCACATACTTCTATATTTTAAATTAATAGAGCCTATGCTATAATGTTGTGGGGGGTTTTAGGATTGAAAACATTTATTTAAGAATGTGAAGTTTTAAGTAAATGGTAACTTTTTAATACAGGGTCTGTGAGACATTATCTTCCCTTTTGTTCATACTCTGATGATTTTCTGATGTTAGTCTATGAGAGAATAATATTAGAAACTTATGAGCAAGTTTGCAGTGGAACTTTTCCAATTGTTTTGAATAGTTTGTCTGAGCCTGGTTTAGGTGAGTATGCTA